GCCGGCTTCAGAGGCGACGGTTCGCCTCCGCTTCCCAGGCGGCTGGAGCGAAACTCCTCGGGCTTGGAACCAGAAGCCGCCGCCGAGCAGGAGCGCAGGGCCCGGTTCTTGCAAGCCCTCCAATAAGAAGTAGCTCAGGCGGTTTCCATGGAAATGGTGGCAGAATGGGGGCGTGCGGGCTGTTTATTGATTCGAGGTTCCGGGACTGCACCAAAGCGCTGCCACCGGGCGAGGAGGGAGCAGGCTGGCGGGGACGAAGCGGGAGGCTGCTGCCCGGACCGGTCCGCGCCAATCCTGGGGTCGCCGAGCAACCCAGGGCACTGGCAGGGCAGCCGCTTGGTCCCTGGCTGGGCTCTTCTCCCTGGTTAAGTCTTTGGTTTTGCCTAGGGGGATGCGAAGTGAATGAATCCCTGGGGGGGTGGGGGGTTACATCACAAGCTAGGCTCTGGGTTTGACTTTGCATTTGCAGGAAATGTGAACCTAGTCAACCGGGGTTTATTCAAGAACCATTATTAACCAAAACGTGGCTTACTATAGGGGAATGAACCCAGCCGCAGTCTAAATCATTGGAGAAAGCAGACTAGGATGGAGATAAGCTTGTGCACAAATCATGAGCTGGCCTTCAAGAGAGGACCAGAGTGTAACCCGCTGATTATAAGCCAACCGTTTCCAAGACAAGCGCTCTGTATGCTAAGCCTGGCTCAGGCAATTGGCTGCTCTCGACAAAGGGATGTTATGAAAATATTAAACACACAAGCACACACCAAATACTGTATAACCACAAACCATAAAGGACAGTTTTCGTCCTATAATCATAGTATGCTGCCGTATCTTAAGATGACTTAGGGCCAGTCTCTGTTGCTGTGAGGAAAATAAGAAAGGATTACTCACACTGCCTTGATCAGTATGAACATCAGGATATAAATCTAATATAGGCCCAGGAGGAGAGCCTTCTCTGCCGTTGTCCCCACCCTTTGGAGTATTCTCCCCTCAGAAGTGTGAAGGGCCCCTATCTTCCTGGCTTTCTGAAAAGGATTAAAGACCTGGTTCTGCCAGGGTGATGGGGCGATATGGGCTCTAACTGTCCTTCCCCAATCTGGGGTTCTCCAGTTGGGTTCAACGATAACAGTAGAAGTTTGATATTGGTTTGGTTTACATATACTTTATGGGGTGCTGATTTAACTTAATGGGTCGTGTGAGCCCAGCCATAATGGTTTATAAACAATAATTTATCATGTATTACAATGTGCAAATCTAGCCATTTGTTACTCAACTAAAGCATGGCATAATGTGATGAACAAAGAGCCAGTAGTGGCTGATCAACAAACTATGGTTCAATAAAGCATGGATTAACTTAATCCAATAAGCCACTGGGAAGTTGCTGTCTCCTAAAACATGCCATGTGAATTCAGCCACTAGGTCTGTAGTTGAACTACTTATATGTGTTGTATGAATTCAGTCATTGTCTTGGCATCATGGCTGAGACCATCAAGGCCATCATGGTAAGACATATATAGTTTGGGTATAGAATGTTATTAGAATACAGCAATTACATTTTGTTAACCTGGGTTTAATGTTTAGTATGTTGTGTGAACCCAGCCCTCATGAATGAAAGAATTTTCAGAATCATTTGGGGAAAAGTAATGTGCATTTTAATCTATGCATCTTAACTGCAGGATTTCCTGGACAGAAGAGTAGCACCTTAAAGACTAACACATATATCACCTATAATATTTCATGGATCACAATCCATCAGGTGTATGGGGGTGGGGGTGCACACACACACACACACATACATATATAAAATATGCGCACCAGGGATGTACAAAACCTATACTTCTGTTCCTTCTCTGAACTACGCTAATCTGTCAATGGTCCAGTGATTTTGTAAACGTTAGTTCCCCAAACCAGAAATTTGTGGTGTTCAAGATGGTACTCCAGATGAGACAAGTTTGTCTCAGAATGGCACCACTCCCTGTATACCACAAACTGTTTCCGATTCAGAAGATTAACTCCTGGAAAACTGCCAGACCACCCTAGAGCAGCAGGATCAAAGGAAAATTTTCTTCCCCAAAGAGCAAGTTTTGCTTACGCTGAGTTCATGTATTGGTAGGGGATGAATTAAAGTCAAGGTCTTTAATCTGGGGTCCATGGAGCCCTTGGGGTCTGTCAATAGTTTTCAGGGAATCTGGGAACTTGGATGTGAAAAAAATTACAACTTTATTTTCATGAACCTCTAACTGAAATTTAGCTTTTCATTCAATAATGTACATAGGCAACAAAATAATTTATGGTCTCTAGACTCCAAAAATGTTTATTAATTTCAATCAATATCACTATCTAAAATTCTTATGCCTTTAAAACAATATTGTCTTGTTATTGATTTAATGAATGAGTAAAGAAGCACATTATTACTATATTATGTATTTGTTATTTTATAATATTTAATAACCGTATTTGAACAAAATTGATTTCCTTTATAATACAATCTATATCTATGCATTTTATTTTGCACATTTAATTACATTTTTCTGGGAAGGTTTCACCAAACCTTTAAAGGTATCCAGGGCACAAAGAGGTTAAGAACTCCTGCATTAGAGGAAGAAGCAGTCAGAGGGAGGTGGTATACAGGAGGTGCTCATAGTAAAAATTACTTCCTTTAAATTGTGGCTATTAACAAAATAGTTGCTGAATGTCATACTAATTGACGTACCAATTAGGCATTGTTAAACTAATCAACACGCACAGCATGTGTATTGTCGTGATTAAGATGCTGGATTTGGACTGGTGATATCCAGATTCAAATCCCCAGTGGACACAGAACACAAGGAGATGTTGAGTTTGGACCACCCTCTCTCTCTTTCTCAGTCCAACCTATTTCACTGGTCCAGCAGTCTTTCATGGTCCTGTCTCAAGAATCATTTTTAGATGAGGAAGACTACCAGAAGGTATCTCAAGAGCTAGATACAGTACTTACAAGCTTTAGCAACTATGCTGAGTCAGCAAAAGGTCCCACCATCCCTGTCTCTGACCAAGGAGGCTGATCTAGATCACGCAGGGAGTCTTTTCCACCCTGCTCTGAGGGCACCTCTGTCTTCTAAGATACAAAGTCGCAAGGTGGAGAGCTGTGGAATCCTCACCCATGTTGAGGAACAATTGAATCAAATAATGTCACTCCATATTAAATTGCCAAGTAAAACTTGACTTGATCAAGGCCAGCAGTGCTCAAGTGAGATCAGAGACTTCTGGTATTTGAGGAGCAACCTGGGCATGACAAAGCAGCTGGAACAACAGTGATCTGTGAAGGTCATCCTTGCTATAAGAACATCCCTGGCATTTGACTTCAGCCCAACTAATGAATTCCCAATTTCCTTACTCCTTCACATGCTGCTTCCTCCAGTAGCTTGGTTCTGCATTCTGAACTTGAACTGGATTTATAACTACAAGATTTGCTTGAAGGATTTATCATGGAAAAACCCAGATAACAAATTGCTGTTTGTGAGGCCAGGATACAATCAATTGTGACATTAAAAAATACTTGGCTTAGTCTAATCCATGAGAAATTCTATAAAATTGTGAATTCCAGCTCACCCGTTTCATGATGAAATCAGCCTCTGCAGTTCCTTTGCTCCTTCTTCCAGGCCAGCTTGAGGTCATTGCCAGAGAATTGAAACATCCCCTTACTAATGTTTGGCCTTTTATAGAAGCTTTGGATGACATCATCTAAAAAACTCTAGCCATGAGCCTTAGATTTGCTGCTTTTTGCATTGCAGCTTCTCCACCTCCAAAGACTAAAACATTAAATGGGAGGTCTGGGCATTTGCCCTGTAAACGGCAATGACACAAGAACACACCAGCTGCGTTGATATAAAGCTGGAGGGAGTGGGCAGCTCACCCCAGATCTCTCAGATGAAAAACAGTGAGTCTCATCTTAAAAGGGCAGTGCCCAAGTCCTTCCCCACATTAAACTGCAGAAGATTCTCCTCTGCCAGATGTATGACTTTGCTTTGCATCAACAGCTCCTGCCTAATTTTGAACGCTAATTGTCCTCCTGCTTGGTCAACAACAGAATGAAACCTACACAGCATTTATGAAGGAAAGGCTGCATGATGCATGGTGTTTGCCATTACATATATGCACACTAAACACCACATCTATACCCATCTATTTAGAACAGTGTTTCTCAGCCTTGGCAGCTTGAAGATGTGTGGACTTCAACTCCCAGAATTCCCCAG